TGGGCAGAGTCAGCATAAATATGGCCATAAGAATGTATGACCAACGCCTCACCACAACACGATCAGCCGATGAGTGGCTCTTCAAGGGTTTCGAGCACCCGTTCATCAGTTTGGGCAAGCTGATACGACCCGAGGATGTGCCATATAATCGGATGGGCTATCAGTATCCCAGGAATGGCAGCTCCGAGTTTGATGGCGATATAAACATGTTCACGGGCGCCGATGATATCGCGAAGATGGGACAAATCTACACGTGGAATAATCTAACGCATACGGGCGCCTTTCCGGGCGTCTGTGGTCAAGTCAGGGGCTCCATGGGCGAGTTCTTTCCACCCAATTTGAGCACCAATGACACCGTGTACATGTACATGCCGAAAATGTGTCGTGCCGTGCCCTTGGACTACACGGAAACAGTGACAGTGCATGGCATAACCGCGTACAAGTACAGCGGCACCCAGCATGCCGTGGACAATGGCACCCTCTATCCGGACACGAGTTGCTATTGCGTCGGCGGCAAGTGCCTGCCCGTTGGCGTCATCAATGTTGTACCCTGTTCCTCCAATGCCTCGGTGTATATGTCATTTCCACACTTCTACAATGGCGATCCCAGCTACCTGGAGGCGGTGGAGGGCCTGAAGCCAGAGCGGGAGAAGCACGAGTTCTTCATGACGCTGGAGCCGAATGCCGGTGTGCCCATGGATGTGGGCGGTGGCTTCCAGGCCAACTATTACATGGAACCCGTCAAGGGCATAGAGTATGAATCATTTAAAATTTATCTGTGGATAATCATCCAACTAATTGTATTACTTTTTGCAGTATCTACGATAAAGTGCCGAGCGTCATGCTGCCTATGATGTGGTGCGAGGAGCGGGTGCGCGTGTCGGAGGAGATTGCCGCAGATATCGCGCTGGTGCCGCTCATTGTTCTGCTCGGACAGATTGTCACTGGCATACTACTGGCTGGCGGTCTCATCTGCACCTGCTGGTACCCCACGCGGCAGGTGACGCACTTCTGCCAGGGTGATCCCAAGGCCAAGGCGAGTGTCCTGCGACCGCTGACCACATTTGGAGTGAATACAGCGCCAGCCACAGGGCCCGTGTCGCAGTTGTTCCGCCACAACACGAATGCTGGCGGCAACGAACGTGTCGGAGTCCGCCTGCTGGACTACAGACGTGACTCTGGGCTGCAGGAGCAGCAGGCGGGGAACCGCAACAACAGTGAAAACTCTCCAAGGGAGCGACTGATCAGTGAATCATCGCCCGATGTGATAGTTAGATAATACATCGATTCGGCTCACGCATTCCCGGCGATGCCAACGCCAACATCAACCATCAAGCATGATCTGAGACTCATTTACATCATCGTATCCCCCCTAGCTTAGTAGAGTTATAAATCTGAATGATAAAGCCATTTTGCCTTAGCCAAGCCATGTCGCCTGGCCTCTATATCCTCTCACCTTCTTACGCATCACATTACAAACATCCCATAACCAACCAACCATTAGGAGTTCCCTCAAAATATCTGTGCATGCGGCCGGACAGCGCGAGAGAGAGATTAATAAGATAATTTATTTTAGTGCCAAAAAAGAAAAAGAGAGAAGCAGAGAACCCAAACAAAAGTCATTAACTATTTTAGTAGGTTAAAAACTAAACTAAATTAAAATGTAAATACAGTTCCCCGATCATCACCCCATGACCCAAATTTGTTGGAAGTTGAAAGAAACACTGCGCACGCCCAAAGTATTTATATCTTGTACATATATAAACCTACCCAATAATAACATTAATTATTTTGTTTCTAATTTTTAAAACGATATTCTAGCTTTTATACATCTTGAGATGGTGTGATATCAATTGATGATCAATCAATTGAAGAGAAAAAACGAGCTAGGCAACTTTTTATCACTGCACTGCGATCCCAAGACATTTCAATCAATTTTATCCCCACTAGATAGAAAGTCTTTTCTATATATTTAAATCTTACACAGACACACACAACATACACATACACATGCATACATATCCTAATAGTTCAAAGATTTCGGATATAAACCCCGTTCGCATATGTAAATATTGTATGTAAAATCAGAGTGTAAAGTCGGACATAAGTTAGCCTATAGCTCAGCTGTGAACCCAGGAAATATTTCCAAAAATTCCTTAAGATACATTTTGAATTAAAAAATATAATAAAATCCAAAAACAAAAATGAAACGTTTATAGTTTAAGTTTTTGTTAGATTATGTGTTAATCACCGACACGTGCGTGCTTTGCTTGCAGCTGGTGCAACAAGGTTATGTTGAATCCCACAAATTTATGCAGCTTGTGAGATAGCAGCTCGACGCGAGTTTCGCTGTTAAGTGATGTTGTTCTTGTTGTTAGATCACTTCTTGAAAGAAGTTAAAGAAGATATAAAGAAGTGTCACCTTTAGCATAAAGCCCCGTTTTTGCGTTTTATGTGCAAAACATCAAAACGGAACATTGCAGTACATTGGTATTGGTACGAATCACTGTAGTACACGTGTACGTGAGCGGCAGAGCCCCGCCATAAAGCACAGAAATACAACAATATTTTGTACTTCGCAGCTTCCTTTGTGATTTTTCATGTAATGGACACATTTTATTATTAATTCCTTGTGACAAATCTACAAAGCTATATTTAAACTACACGTATAATCGTACAAATACTACGCCCCTTCAGCTTGTTAGCCACGCTGCAACCAAGTGGCAAAGGCATAAAAGCAGAGGCTGATGAAGCTGAAGCTAACCAGAGAATTGAAGGTGCCCGCACCGTTGCCCACATTGCCCAGATCCAACCGTGCGGCCAGCTCGTCGGGCACATCCAAGTAGACGCGCTCCACGCCAAAACCGAATATCAGCTTGCGCAGCTTGGCCACATCCACGTAGTCACCGTCTGAGGACCAAATGGTCAGTGTGCTCTCGTTGGTCTCGTTAACAGCGGCCACCAGTTTGTGGAGTTGCTCCTCGCTGTTGGCCGCAATGCCCGCACGAACCGGGAAAGTGATGCCCTGGCCCGTGGACAGCACATTGTTGAGGCTGAGCGACTCGACCATGGCGTCGCACTGATCTTTGGTGTATTCGCCCTCGCGGAAGTCGGCGCCCCAGTTGGTGGTCCAACCGATGGAGAGAACTGCCTGCTTGTAGCGCATGCAGCCGGCAAAGAAACGATCCGGATCTACGGGCACGCTCTTGTTCTGGTCCACGGGGCCACTGATAATGTCTGCATTGATCCAAATGGGATATGACATCTGCAGAAGAACAGATTAGTTTATGGAAAATTGTGATTATGCCCTTGGTTTAGCTTACACTTGGTATGGTTGCGTCTAAGATATCCAGGGAGCCCTCGAACACCTCTATGGACTTGAAATCCAGCTTGACACCCTTCTCGTTGCCCTCGTGTAGGTCGTTGAAGTCTTTGATCTGATTCAGGAATCCCTGCAGCGTCAAATCGGAGACATTCGCCGGCGGATGAGCCATCACGGGCATATCGTCACCCTCGCCATTCACCTTGCCCAGCACAATGTCCGCCTCAATGAACTCAATGTCACCTTTGTGGAGAGTTGTTAAAGTCAAGATAAAAGTAAACAGTGCACAATTTGCGGGAGAGGGGAGTCTCACCAGCCAAGGCCTCGTCGAGCAACTGCTGGCTGTTGACCGCATGAGCCCATCGGATGGCGGTCAGATTGGCCGCCCTGATAATGGTCTTGCCCCTCACCATGTCCTGGTCGTGTAGCAGCAATATACCAAGAGGCAGATCAGCGGCAGTGTCAGCTTGTGTTCCCTGCGGTTCCTCCACACGGTAGTACTGATAATGGCTGGCATTCAGAGCCGCACCTTTGGTATTGGACACGAGCGCTTCAGGTGTTCCATGGAAGCAAAACAACGACAAACGATTGGTATTAAATATTCAATAATTGCAGAACAGAACAATGGAAAAGGGGAGAACGCGCCCAAAGCGTGCATAGATAAGCTCGCGTTTCCCTCTTACCTTCTTATTTTTTCGCTTCGCACACACGCAGACAGAGACACACAAACGAACGGAACGCAATGGATGTGTATTTGTGGGGAAAATTATATTTAATTGTTTAATGGGAATGGATGGAAAAACACTTTCGCCGAATGCTGCCTGTAACTGAACTACAAACTCTGATTGTGATGAAAGAGACAAAGCGCAGACGCCACAATGAAAATGCTTCTATATAGAAAGCATATGAATGGGCGGGCGAATGAGTGGAATTCAAAATGCGAATTGCATTACCAAGCAGCAGCAGGCATAATGACAATGACCTCTGGCCGAGAGCGGGAGCAGTGGACTTGAATAGCATTTTAGCGTTTAATCAGCGAGCGAAGAGTGTGCAGAATATCACTAGCCTTGGAAGTCAATAGAGAACTAACTAGCAGGTCGATTAAATGAAAGATTATCTTGAAATCATTTGATTATGCATTGATTACACTACTCGACGAAATCAAACTACATATATTTCGTCAAGGAATTCCGCATTCCAATCTATCAGATTTGATTCCTTGAGGAAAAATCCTGTCGGGTAGTGTAAGTATTGCCCACTCCACCTACGATCATTCAAGGTAAAATTATGTAAGTAGAGTCATATAATAAGTGGTAATTGTTTACATATTACGCGCTTCTTTTATGCATTTAGGTAAACGCCTTGGCAACTCTAAATGTTAGTGTTTATAAACGCGTAATGATACCGCCATACCAACAGTTTTTGGTATTTCAATCAAAAAATACATAACAGAAGTCATGAATAGTAGCCAATATTGTGGATTGATTAAACTGGTAAAATTATAGTTTTAGCGCTGAGACTCCTAACTACTAGTAATATTAAAAATAACACAAAAATCAAGGAAAGTTCGGTATATTTTACGGTATATTTTGAAAATGAAAAAGTATATTTTGGTATATTTACGAGGCCCTGACACTATATTTTATCGATAATTCCGTGGTCACACTGACACGGTGTTGTTTTGCTGCAGGGGTAAATTTTTTTTTCTACAATTTTACAAAAGTGATATTTAAAAATGACTTAATTTTAAGAACCTGTAAACATAAAACTTTTTTTTTTTTTTTTTGCACGTGAATTAGTTTTAAGCATATACAGCAGCAGCCAAGTGAAGCAACGAGCAACGGCTTTCTGCAGAAAATCGAAAAGAAAATTTGTGTTGAAAGAAAAATTCGAGGCATAACGCGAATCGAGGAGCATGTGTGGTTGGAGGCAACATCAACAACAAATTGCTGGGCAATTGACGTTCTATTATTAATATTAAGGGAAAAGGCAAAGGCACAGGCAACAGGCAGGAGCAAAAGCGGATGGTGGCAGGAGTAAACCTGAGCGGTGTCTCAGTTTGGTGCTGCTGCTGGGGGTGGTAAACAAATAATTTCCCGGCGTTTGTACAGTCTCACAAACACACACACAGGCAGACATAGGTACACGCACACAATGACGGCGCAAACGGTTTACCAAAAGGTAGTCCGTCTGTCCCTTCGCTCGGCCGCAAATCTCTCCAAGCGGCGCGTGGATGAGCTGAGCTCGGGCATCGGAGAACTGCGCCAGCTGCTGTCGTGTGTGGTGTGCTGCAAACTGCTGGTGGATCCATACGCGCCGAAGGGCAAGCGCTGCCATCACTATGTGTGCCGACTGTGCATACGCGGCTGCAAGCGGCTGATGTCGCGTTGCAGGCAGTGCGAGGATTGTTCGGATTTTAAGACATACGAGGAGAATCGTCTGATGGCCATACAGTTGCTCTGCTACAAGACGTTGTGCGTGCGTCTGCTGCAGTCTTCGATGTTCACGCAGCTCGCGGGACTCTTTCCCGATCTGAGCCATGTGGAACAGTTTCCGCGCATTCGGCTGCCGGCAAAGACAACGCAGGAATTCATACGGGAGGGCACGAATTATGATGGTGATATCAGGGACTCTTTCCTGCCACAGCCGGATCTGCCTTTCCTGAAGAATCTTCCACTCTCGCTGCCGGCAGAGACGCCGCCCACAACGGCGGCCACAACGCCCGAGATGCCGTACGAGCAGAACCTGCCCGAGCAGCTGTCCATCACCGACATTGAAATGGAGGCAGCCGCCACCGCGGAGCAGTCACATTTCACACATCCCTTGCCCCTAATGCCGACAGGTTCGCGCATGGGCCTGCGCCATTTAATGCTGAACCAAGGCTCCGGCTCGCTGAGCACCGAAGCCACCAGCTACACGGATCACAGCTGGAACGATCAGGTTGATCTCTCGGCTGCCGTCTCCATGTCCAGCTTTCCCTATGTCATGCAACCCACAGCCGCATCCACACCCTTTGATGAGCACCCAATGCAAGAGTTGCAAATTGGTCAAGTCGTGAGAATAGAAGAGTCCACGCAGCCAGCTCTGTTGGCCATAACGAGTGCGGAGGTTGAGCTGCTACCCTCACAAAAGCGAAAGCTTGCACAGCTGAAAATGGAGCAGGAGGAGCAGACACAACAGTTGGTGCTCCAAGAGATTGCCAGCAAGGAGGAGGAGCTGGCATACCTAGAGAATGTCAGCCAGGGGGAGGACTACCTGGAGAATATCAGCCAGGATGAGAATTATCTGGAGAATGTTAGCCAGGAAGAGGCACCGCTGGAGATTGTCAGCAAGGAGGAGGCATCGTTGGAGATTGTTAGTCAAGAGGAAGCAACGCTGGAGACTGCCAGCCAGGAGGATGCACACCTGGAGACTGCCAGCCAGGAGAAGGAATCACCAGAGACTGCCAGCCAGGAGGAGGAATCACCAGAGACTGTCAGCCAGGAGGTATTCGAGGAGAGTGGCAGCCTGAACACGTCGCGCGAGAGCGTCACCGAAGAGATCTACAAAGAGATTGTCAGCGAGGAGCTGTACCAGGAGACTTCCAGCCAGGAGGCAACGCAGCAGCACAGTGTCGCCGCCGAAGAGGAGGAGATTGATGCCAGCCACGAGGAGCCATCGCCAGAGCAAGTCAAGGAAGAGGAGGAGAAGGCAGAGCCGGAGGAAGCCTATGAGATCTCCTCCAGCGAGGAGAGTTATACATCAAGCAGCAGCAGCGAGGAGGAGGACAACGACAAAGACACCGAATGGCAGCCCATACGATCAAAGTCCAACATCCCATCCGTGGAGCAGGAACCTGCAAAAACCAACAACAAAAAAGTAGAAAAAGCTGCATCTCCCGCTCCGGCTGCAGAGCCCGCTCCAGTGCCTACGCCTGTGCCTGAACCTGTTCCCACAATTGCCAAAACAACCCACAAAAAGTCAGCCAAATCCGATGCAGCAAAGCCAAGCAGCAAGAGGACGACGGGGGGTAGTGGTGGATCATCGCGTAGGAATGCGGGCAAGACAAAGGAGAAGCCACCGAAGCCCATCTGCCGCTGCGGCACCTCTGGTGTGTCGGTCAATCCCAAGACCACCTGTCGCAACACACGCTGCCCGTGCTACAAGTCGGGCAACACGTGCACCAATTGCCACTGCGCTGGCTGCCACAACCCACACAAGATGGATTATCTCGATTCCGATGATGAGCTGGATGAGTTGGAGCCACTCAGCGTGCTGCAGGCAGAGAAGGAGCAACCAATGGAAGCAACAGAAACACCAAAAGAGAAGGTAACGAATGCAGCAACACCAACAGCCACACCAAAGGAAGGTGGTGCTGCCCAAGGAAGTTTCACCTTGGTGCCCAGCAATCTGCAACAGTCGCAACATCCTTTGGTTTTAGTGCAGAACGAGGAAAGTGGGGAGTATCAAGGTAAAGCTTACGATCCTTTAAGGCTCGTGGATTGTGTTTCCTACAGTTGAACATCTTTTAATCCTGCCCTTTCCCTGTGTCTTTCAGGTTTCAACATCTTTCAAGGCAGCGTACCCATACATCCCGAAACAATTGGCTTTATGCGTGTTCAGCTGCAGAATAATGATCCCAATAGCACGATTCCTCAGTATGCTTATGTGATGCCACCGCCACCAGTTGCTCCAACAGCAGCAGCAACCGCTCCAACCTCAGCTCCAGCTCTAGAAAGCAGACCCAAGCCCGAAGCGGAGCAGCCACAACCTACAAAGAAATTCAAGTCTGCCATCAAGCGCAGTGCACGCCTGCGTGGCTTTCCTCCGCGCAACACCATCGATGAGCTGGTCAGTGGTGGCTCCTCTGCCATTAGCAATTCTGCCGCTGGCGACAGATTGTCAGCCACTGACAATGCCCATTCGCTGTTCGAGGAGATTATGTCGGGCTCGGATGATTTGTAAGCAAAGGGGAGGAGGGAAACTTTTTTTTTTATTACATTATTTTGTATTATTTTCTGTACCTTGTTGCAAAGGGTATGCTGTGTGAAGTCTAGTTTGGTTACCCCTAAAGGGGTATATTGTATTTGTAACACATGTCCTGATTATCCTGAAATGTTTTATGTTCATTTCAATGTATTTAATCTCAGATTTGTATGCATTTGCATTAATTTTTCCCTATTTGTGGTTCCTTTTTATTTGTAAGTAAACCTTAAATTAGAGTGTCGAAATCCCTTCATATACCACGATGATTTACCCCCAGCATTAAGCAATGAAAATGTACATACAATAATAACCCACTGTACGCTCAGAAACCTCTCTCTGAGGCTGCCAACTCTCAGCAATCGTTGGCAGTCGCTGGATCTCTAGCAGAAGAGCATCTTAAAGCTTCAAGTTAAGGGCAAAGCAATTGTTATAACAAACTTCCTCATACTTAAGCAAAAACCAAGTCCCTAAAACCCTCTTCGCGTGTTCTTATTCGTGCAACGAACAACGAATCGGTCGAAATATTGTAATGCTTTTGGCTCCAAGTGCGGCTCGGCTGCTGTTAGCCGAAAAACCAAACAAAAAATATTTTTTTTCATAGCTTAAGAAGAATTTTTTTTCATATCTTAAGAACAATTTTTTTTATAGACTAAGAACAATTTTTTTGTATATCTTAAGAACAATTTTTTTCATATCTTAACAATTTTTTTTCGTATTTTAAGAAGAATTTTTTTTTAATAGTTTAAGAACATTTTTTTTTCATAGTTTAAGAACATTTTTTTTATAGATTAAGAAACTTTTTTTGAGCATGAGACATTTTTTTTGAGCACGTGAAACTAAATATTTAATAACTCCAAGTCATACATACAAATATGTACAGGAATATGTAAGTACATAAAAGTAAGTAAAAAAAATACATATATGTACGTACATAAAAAAATGTATATACGTACATAAAAATATCTAAAACATACATAAATATGTGTAAAATATATATTTGTGAAACCAAAAAACTTGTGTCTTGTGGGAACAGTTGTGAGTGGAGTGAAGTGCTGCAGTCTGCTACGATGAACCGCTCTGCCTCCGCTGTGGCAGCGCGTTTCCGGGCGGCTCTCTGTGTCTCACTCAATCTCAATTCAGAGTTTAATCAGCGTGTGCTGCTCCGTGCTGGCCCTTAGATAAGCAACACAAGCGGGGATGCTGCTGCTGCTCTCTGTTTGTCAGACTGCCTGCCTGCCTGCCTGCCTGCTACTGGTCTGCTCATCATTATCTGTTGATTAACGCTCAGTGCGTGTTGGTGTCGAGCCGAGTCGAGTCCGAGTAGCGAGTGGCGCGTTTCCTATTGATTTTCTCTGTTACTGATAAGCAAAAGTTCAAGACAATCTAGCAAAAGATGAAGCCACTGATAGGGTTTTTGCTCGTGGTAATGCTGATGTGCCAGGCACAGTCTCAGTCGCAGGATGTCGATGGTGAGTGTTGCGCTTCGTATGCCACACATTCCCAACCACAATTGTGACCTTTGTTCCAGTGAACGTCGAGCAGGAAGCTGGCGAAACGGATGAAGAGCACAACATTGAGGCGAGTGAGAATCGCATGGCCGCGCAGGTGGAGGCTGTGCTGGAGCACTTCAAGCAAACGGATCCGCTGGGTATGCCTGGTGTCCCCATACCCGATCCCATAGATGTGCCCGATGTGAAGAAGAACATGGGCTTTGGCAACCTAGACATGAAGGAGGTCAAGGCCTACGGACTGTCCAAGTTTCGCATAGACACCATCGATGCGGATCTCAAGTCGATGAAGGTGAGCCGTCGCGAGATTTAAAGGAAAAGCCTGAAACCTTCTTCTTTGCAGCTCAAGGGTGGCGTGCAGTTGGATGAGATGCTGGTCAAGGGCAAGTACAATCTGGCCAGCTGGATCTCACGCGCCCAGGGACCCTTTACGGTCATCCTCAAGAATGTTTATGCCGAGGCAACGGCTTTCTTGGCCGTGGAACGTGACGGACACCTGACCACAGATCGCATCAAGATTGACATTACCTTCAGGGACATGGCCATGGACTTCCAGAACCTCGGCTTTATGGGCTCGCTGTTTCAGGGCATGGTCAACTCTGCACCGAATCTTGTGTTTGATGCCATGAAGCCATTCATGCTGCAGGAGGCCGATAAGCAGCTGCGCAGCGAGATCGACACAATGATCAAAACGAGCATGGGCGATCGTCGGCTGCCGAACTCCATCACGCCGCTAGACAGCGCCATAGCGGAGGGTCGCAAGGTGGTGCGACAGATGGGCTACGATCCGTACCATCTACCCGACATGAATCGCACCATGGGCGTGTTCAGTGTGCAGCTGTCGCACACCTGGATCCATGGCATCTCCAGCTTCTATCGCGTGGGCAACATCACAGCCGCCATGGCCAACAAGACGGTGTCGCTGGTCGTCCAGGTGGGCACACAGCAGGTGACTGGCGCCGGCCAATGGGAGATGGGCCTGGGCATGATGACACGCGTCGGCCATGTGCAGTTCACGGTGCAGCATATACGCGCCACTGTGGCAGTCAGCCAGTCGCTGGACACACGCCAGCGGCCGCAGATTGTGGACCTGCAGTTCGACATGGGGAACATTCAAGTGCGCTGCGATGGCGCCGGCACGCTGGACTATGTCATGGAGTTTGCTGTGAATGTGGTGCCCAATTTGTTGCGTTACCAAATCATGGATGCCATCGAGAATCCCATTAAGCAGCGCGTGCAAGAGAAATTCAACACCATCGATGTGGAGCAGGCCATCAAGCAGCTCGTCCACAAGTACGAGACGGAAGGCAGCGACTTTAAGTTCGATTTTAAGCTCTAAGTGAAGGTGTTTTGAATAAAGTTTTTATATCCCTTTCAACTGAACAAATCAGGGAATCACAATTAGTACTGCAGCATGTCCTTCTCGGGTCCTACGGCTCCTTGATGCTAAAGCAAAGCAACTGCAGCCGCATATTCCGCTTCACACGCTCGAGTATCTCGTCTGCCTTGCGCTTCTGCTCGCCATTGAGCGGCGGATTGATGGCCTCCAGTGCTTCCATAAAGTAGTTTCTGTGGGGAGCAACAAAAGTCAAGTAACAAATGTGATTGAAGGCGCTTGGCTGCCACTCACTTGGCTGTCTCATTCGCGTAACACTCGAGTGCATCGCGCAGCAGGCGTATGTCCACGTGTGCCTGTATCGCGCCCGTAAAGCTGAAGCGCTGCACGCAGCTCATGAGACGCGCCAGCTCCTCGGATATGGTCTGCACAATGGACTCCAGAATGGGCCGCAACAGAGCTGGGGAGATGCTGTAAATCTCCGAGTAAACGCCAACGAGGTTGTCGACGCATTCGTGCGCGTAGGGACGCAGCTGGCCAATCTCCATCTCGTGATCCCATTGAAAGCGACCCAGGTACATGGAGGGCTCAATGGTGCCCACCAGCGGGTCGCCCTTGTGCTCCACATACTCCTCCAGCAGGTTGGTAAACAATTGATTCACCGTGTAGCGTGACGTTTCAATGGCCAGCGTGGGCAGCGGATAGCCATAGCGCACGAAAACGTCGCCAATGTGCGGGAAGAAGCTCTTGTTGCAGTACGCATAGTTGGCCAGACAGCAGAGCATACGCTGCTCCCAGGTAACAGCCGCACCGCCACTGGCCACCGAGTCCAATTGCTGGGCATTGGGGAAGCCCAACAGCTGGGAGACATTATGCGTGGGCGTCTCCTCGTCGTGGGATTGAAAGGCGAGCTCCTCAATCACCGCACTGAAGGTGGAGAGGAACTCCTGCAATCGCTGCGACACCTCACGCTGTCCATCCGACTGCGGTTCGAGTAGGTTGCCCTCCCGCGTCTCTGGCTGCATGCACACCGACTGCACCTCGTCCAGTGTTTCCACGAGCAGCGCTTCCAGCGCGGCAGGCAGAATGGTTGCACCCGGATATTCCTCCACGCCCAATTCCCAGGTCTCCTGGCTGCCCAGCTTCTTGCAGCGATCAGTGGAGCGCTTGAAGATAATCGAGAAGCAGAACAGGCGCACCTCATCGATGAGTTTCTGTATGATGTCCAGCGCATCCGAGGGCAGATCCAGGCCTATGAGCGTGGCATACGCAATCCTCGTGTAGCGCAGACACTGCGGAATCCACGGCAGGAACTGATGTGTGGCCGAGGCGCTGCCAATGGACCAACTCAAGCCGCTCGACTGCCGCAGCGCACGCTGATCGCCGGCTATGAGAATGGCCAGTCGCAGGTAAACGCAGAATTTCTCAATTGCATTGAGAATCATTTTCTTGAAATCCCCAGGCTTTGGATCGTGCGGACCGCGCAGCTCGCCCGTGAAGTACAGCTGCCCCAGACGCCACAGATCCGGCAGCTGGGAGGCGGCAATGTCGCAGAGTTCTTCGCAAAAGTTGACACGACTGGGAGCTTGGTTGGGATCGCGTGTCTTGGACTTCTCGGGCGTGCCGGCAGCATCTTTGTTGGCATGCTGCTCGAATGTCTGCCGGAATGTGGCCTCCAGATACTTGGCTCTGGCCTCAATGGCATCCCAGGCGGGATCAATGTTCCGCAGCTTATCCCCAATGGGTGTGCCGCTTTGCTGCAGCTCCAGGCTGGTCAGCGCTTTGATTAATTTCTTCTGCTGGTCCACACTTTGCGGCATCTTCACTACCTTCTCGTGCAGCTGCTTGCGTATGGACAGAATGCGTTGATCGACTTCCTCCAGCACTTTGCGGAATATCGGAATCTCCGTCTTGCCAAAGAGATTCTTGGCGCGTGAGTAATCATTCACCACAATGTCATATTCGCCCGCTTTGGCCCGTCGATCTACCGAATTTGGCAGGCAAAACAGAAACTTGTGCCTGGAGAGAGCAAACAAAACGGAACGCGTGGAGTCTGCCTTCTCCTTGCGCACCAGCACATCCGTGAAGATCTTCTGCGACTCGCTAATAGAATCTGCAATGAAAATAAATCACATTCCGAGCGGAAAACACTCCACTTTCTCTTCCCACTCACTCTCTATGGACGCTTCCAGAATGTTGAGCGGTTCGGTGCCATGCATCTTGACATCCTCCTGCAGCTTGTCACGTATGTTCATCAGCGTGTCCAGCTGGTCAATGACAGAGCCCGCATTGGACTTGAGAAACGACAACTGTCCCTCCTTCTGGCTCTCCACTTTGCGCTTCAGATAGGCCAGACCCGCCTTCAGGTCCTCAAAGGATGTGGCCAAATGGTTCTCGAGCAGAAACCAGGAGGGGGAAAAGTGCTCCTGCGACAGATCGCCACAGGCATCGGGAAACAAGTCACGCAGATCTTCGGGTATCTTCTGTTCATTGCCCTCAATGGACAGGCCTAGGGGATCCTCCTGCGTCAGACCCGACTGCGTGAGTGTGCGTCGCCCCCAGGCAAAGTTCTGGCTAGGCGACTCTTCGATCCACACAGCAGACTCCTTCAGCGGTCCAATGGTTTCGTGGTAGGCACGAAACTGAACCGTCGACGTGCCCACACCACCGCTCAGAGTGGACACGATGATGTCACCCTTTCCCTTGGCCGGACCGGTGCGTGCTATAATTTTGTTGGGTGATTTCCATTCCGCCGACAGCAGGCAGTCGGAACCGCAAATCTTAAGACCTGCAAAAACAGAGAAAAGTTACGATAAAAATAAAGCCAGCCAGCTGCTGCCTGTCTACGCCTACCAATTAGGTCTTGAACTCGGGTGCCCAGGAATTCGCCGCGAATGATGACACGCGTACCAGGAGGACCCTCTTTTGGAGACAGTCCCGTTACCACCGGCTGTGGGGCCATGGCTGTGCTGTATGACCAGTGGAAAGTGGTTAAAAATGCAACAAAAACTGCAAAGAAAATAAATTTCTTGTTTCTGGATAGCCCTCAGTGTTGACTAATCCCCAAAGACAGTGCTGCACAGCTACAATTGGTTTGTTTATATTTGTTTCGATGAATTATCGATGGAGGTATACGGTATATTTACGGAATATTTCGGTATATTTCGGAGGGTCTATAAAACCGCGGTCTAACTGGTAGAAACAGCTGAGGCTGAGCTGAGCTGCAGAAAAATGGATGACGTCGCCACAGCACAAAGCGAGAATGAGAATTTACGGAAAATTCGCAATCGCCTGATGCAATGGGAGTCCAAGACCGATCCCCTGGCGGCGCTAAGTGTTCAGCAAGAAGAGCATTTGGATGTCCTGGCCAATCTGTGGCGAGATGCCGGACCATCGGTGAGTGTTGTGCTGCTGCTTGTCGTGGGTGCCAACAAATTGATAAAACCGAACACTTGATCTTTGTTTATAGTTGCCGGCAGTGACCACACCTACGATAGCGGAGCCCTCAGATGAGGCAAGCGCTGCTGCCACACAGAGTACTGAGGATATAGAGCTGCCTGCGGAGGGGCTTCAGAACACAAACGATTTCCTGCTGTGGTTCGTGGACGTCAACGCTGAGATTGAGCAACGTGGCGATGCGGTCTATCACAAGTATCTGCAGCAGTTGGAGCAGCGCAAAGCGGAATGCTCGCACATGCTGGGCCAAATCTCGGTGGCCATGAATCGCCTGGGCGCCCTCTCCGACGAGTACGAGTTTGTGTCACAAAAGACGAGCGCCCTGAACACGGCCAGCGAACAGTTGATCGACGAGCAGGAGAAACTGCAGGAGCTGAGCAATGAAATTCAGCGACGTTTGCATTACTTCAGCCAAGTGGAGCTGCTCAATCAGCGACTACAAAGCCCCACGCTATCGGTGGCCAGCGAAGCGTTCCGGGAATGCCTTAACAAAATTGATGAATGCCTGAACTACATAGAGGAGAATGTGAGATCTTACAGCTGCAATCTTCAACTAGTTATATACTCATTTGCCACCTCTTTTCCAGCCCAAGTTCAAAGATGCTGCCACCTACAATGTCAAGTACAGACAATGTCTGGCAAAGGCCTCTGGCCTGGTGCGTAATTATGTCACCGGCGTCATCAATCAGGCCACTGAGGCCACGCTGCATCCCAAGAACACCTCAGCTGATGCCTCCAACGCACTACAAGCGCCAGATGCTGCCTTCGCCTTGTACTATGGCAAATATCAGACAGCAGCAGCGAAAGTTAAGCGTGTGGCCCAGCTGATCGAGACGCGGCTGGAGCACAGCAACGACTATGCCCAACTAATGACCGACCTGCAGCAGCATTACTTGGCTCAGCGTGCCAGTGTGATGTCGCCAGCGGTTAATCTTTCCATACAGAATGTCAAATCAGCCCACAAGGGAGACCATTGCTCGCTGACACGCAGCGCGTGTGGATTTCTGGTGCATGTGTGCCAGGATGAGCAGCGTTTGTTTTATCAGTTTTTCAGCACAGGAGCGCAGTATTTAACGTGAGTTTTGGGTACAAATTCAAGGCGTTTCAGGTCTAATTATGTATTTTCTTACAGCGTTTATTTGGAAGGCTTGTGCACGATTCTTTATGATACATTGCGACCCTTCATTATACACATAAATCACTTGGAAACGCTGGCCGAGATTTGCTCCATTTTGCGCATTGAAATGCTGGACGAACATGTGCAACAAAATCGTAAGAGAAACTTTCTAAGACTTTGCTGATGTTTTCTATAATTTCTTGTTATCATTAAGCATCCGCGCTGGAAGCCTTTGCCACCATTGCACATCAATTGCTGCAGGATGTGCAGGAGCGTTTGGTTTTCCGTGCACATTTGTATCTGCAGTCGGATATTCAGAACTTTAATCCCTCTTCGGGTGATCTGGCCTATCCCGAGAAGCTGGAAATGATGGAGGTAGGAGCGTAGTTTCTTTATATATTTAATTTGTTAATTAATTGTTAACAATTTGCAGAGCATTGCCTTATCCCTGCAAGAGCCTACTCCACTGCGGCGTTCGGATTCGCGTGCGTCTGTTATTTCCAGTGCCTCGAGTGTTGCCGAAAGCGTTGACACTTCCTACAGAATCAGGCAAATGAGTAAGCATCAGGGAAACAGACCGAAAAGCAGCGCAACTTAAATATTTATAATGTTTTCTTACAGATTCCCCCGCTGATTTGCATGGCATGTGGTACCCAACGGTTCGTCGCACTTTAGTCTGCCTCTCCCGCTTGTATCGCTGCGTGGATCGACCCATTTTCCAAGGCCTTTCCCAGGAGGCCCTGAAGCTGTGCATACAAAGTGTCTCCTATGCGGGTGGCAAAATTGGCGCAGCCAAAACGCCCATCGATGGAGAGCTCTTTGAGATCAAACATCTGCTGATCTTGAGGGAACAAATTGCACCATTCCGTGTGGATTTCACTGTAAAGGAAACCTCTTTGGACTTTAGCAAGGTGAAGACGGCAGCCTTTGGGCTGCTGCAGAAGCGTAAACAGCTCTTCTCGATGGGCAGCAACAATGCGTTGCTGGAATTCCTGCTCGAGGGCACACCACAGATAAAAGAACATTTGCTGGACTCGCGCAAGGAAGTGGATCGTCAGCTGAAGACTGTGTGCGAGAAGTACATCAGAGATGCTGTGAATATGCTAATAGGTCCCCTAATCACATTCCTGGACAAGGCACAGAGTCTGCTGGCACAAGCGGCCTCAAGCACAGCCTCAGCGACAGAGTCCACGACGCCAAAGGCTAGCTATGTGCTGAGGCAAAGCCCCTGGGCGAGTCCCCAACAGATAAGCAGCATCATTCAAGAGACGCAGCGCACGATTAAGGCCAAGCTGGCAGTGCTCCAACGAGCGATGCAACTCTATCTAAGCAATCGTGATACGGAATTCATTATCTTTCGGCCAATACGAGTGAGTCTCGGCACATGGAGTGCAGGAAAAAGCTTAACTTAATGTCTTTTGATCCCTTAGAACAACATCATACAATCATTTGTTAAGCTAGAGCAATTGCTGACCACAAATGGCTACTCCACAGATGATATGATCATCACGAGTTGCCCGTCTGCGGAACAGGTATCGATTCTGCTTTCCAGTGCTAGTATTTTGGCTGCAGAGGGAGTGGCGAGCTTTGCAGCGGCAGCAGCACGCAAAATCAGCACTTCATCCTCTGTCGAAGGTGTAAGCAGGAAGCTGAGCACAATGTCCAACAAAGCGGAGCTGCTGGAAGAGCCCAAGGCAGAGGCACAGGCGGAGGTTCAAACGGAAGCAGCAGCGGCGCCTGTGGAGATTGAGGCCAACACAGAATAGTTTGCAATGTATCGCCCCTTATGTAACTTATATGTATATCTATTTATCTATAGCTAAGCCATGTAATATATATATAAATGTATTGTTTGTGTGTAAGCGCTGTCCAAGAGTGCTGTCTGCCGGAGCTTGTGGCCTGTTGTGGTTTATCCTTTCCAAAAAACAAATTGTAGAATTAACATTGATTTTTTATTTGCTAAACCACGTAGAATGTGACGAAGTCGAAGTAAATTAACAACTAAACATTACAATAACAATATGCAAAAAGTTGGAGATATTTCCTAATAGTATTTGTGGGCAGAAACCTTGCTGCTGGTCAAGTGATGGATATGTCTGGAGACTCGTAAGGGAGCAGGAGCTAGGAGCAGTAACTAAGAGAGCGAACACTTGTCCTTGCTGCTTGATTGCTGTCCACCCACAGTCACAGTCTGAGCTGGTGGCTGACGATTACGCTGCTGTTCCGCAGCATCATCCTGCTCCATTATGGATAAGGCTAGCGCACGTGCCAAAGCCTCGTCTTCTGTCTGTGGCAACAAAGAATTGATTAACTTGAAGGCAAGGTTGGTACAATGATGATTTACTACTTACCATATTTCCCTGTATATTTTGTACTTGTGTGGCCTGCACAGGTCGCGGTCTGGGGTTCGAGTTGAACAAATGGTTGGCTGGCGGCTTATTCTGACGACGACTTTCCGCCGCTTTGGCGGCCATCGAACGCGTGTCCGTGGCTGGCTTGAATATGGATTGAAAGATTCCACTGGATCCACTGGGCGCTGTTGGCGCGGGCTCGTTCGGCTTGCAATCGTGGTCGCTGGTGTGACGGTGACGTAGGCAAAAGTTCAACTGGCACTGCGTGCACTTCACGGGAATGAGTTCCTTGCGCTTACAACCTTTAGCATGGCAGCGATTTGTATAGATTTTCTTGCTTTCCGATTTGCATTGTTTGTCTATGTGCTGGCCCACTGTTAGATCGGGCTCCACGCCAGGCGCAGTGGGCACTGGCTCGTGGCAGAGCGGACAGATGGGCACCTGGACATTTTTCTTGTACGCTCCTGGACAATTGTGACGATTGTAGTTGTAGTGGCTAGCACAAAACACTTTGTCGCATGAGTCACACTTAACAGGTAGGAAATCTATAAATACATTTGTGAAATTCATTTAATTAGTGTTCCATCTAGTCTGCCAGCGCTTCCTGGTTGTAGGCTCACCCAATCTGTTGCATGTTTGCTCGCTGCAATGCTGGCCCAAATGTGGAAACTCCATGGCGTATAGCGTTCTTGTGGCGTTGCTGACTCTGACTTGAAAATATGCCGTTTCACAGAATTGTGGCTGCTTTTATGGGCTAATCGTGAAAAGTTCCAGAAAAGTTTCCAATTTTTTTGTCTATAGTGACTAAACAGAATAATGACCAGTGTGACCGCGGAATTATCGATCAAATATACCGTAGGACCCTCAAAAATATACTATTTTGGTACGTCTTCTTTTAATAAATATACCGTAATTATACCGCGGTCATAAATCATATTCCTAGACTTTTAACACTGAAACAATTTAACGCTCATTTTTTCGTTGAGCACAGAAATACTCGCCCATATTTGAAATATGAAGCGGGCGGTCATGTGCTTATTTTCAAAATTACATTTATGTGAGCGATTTGTTGGTGCGTATTTAAAGGATAACATTTAAAAAATGGAAAACCAAGAATGAACAGAGCGTCAAATCCAATTCCAATTATTGAACATAATACAACGACTATTTACATCTATACATATTTACAAATTTATTTGTTTGAAATGCTCTCTTTGTCATGATACAAAATGTTTTAATAGGAATATATATTATTTATATATATATATATAAATACATAAATATACCAACAACAATTAAGGAAAAATAATTTCCCAGTAATAATAATGGTATACATTTCAATTTTGAAATTGCCAATAAAGTTTTCTTCTTAACTTTTATCTGGATTCACGTTGCATTTTGTTGTTTTTTGTTTGTTTAAATAATACCGAATATGTGTGAAGAATGAGAATGCGCAAGCAGCTTTCGATCTGCAATTACCATTTTGCTTTGTTTTCAACAATATAAAAGCATAATTACTGTGTAGAATAATGAATAAAGAAGAGATAACGTTAACGTTGGTGCGAATGCATCGATAGCTAAAGTTTAACTTGAAATACAAAACAGCAGCAGCGGCAGCGGCAGATTGGCTAGACTGAAGTGCTGAAGGCGAAATTTAGCTACGCTCTGAATCTTTAGATCAAGAACAAATTTTGGTCCCGCTGAAGGAATATTCATAGCGCGCTTTAGCTGTTGGACACAGCACTTGGAAATGCATTGAGAGAAAAGTTTGTTGGGAATTTTGTAAGTTAAACAATTTCACGGGCAAACGGAGCAAACGCCTCCCAGTAGCTGACGATCTGAAACGAAAAATGGTTTGTTTATCGTTCAACGTATAGTCAAATGTTTATTCACCTGTTGCTGATGTGCCATTTGGTCTTCTATATACTTGATAATATTCGCTTTAAAGTCTTTCACTCTGGTCAATTCGAAGCGCTCCATTTCACGCTTTATTTCCGCCGATATGTCATCAAAATGCTGCTGACAGCGTTGTACCTTTCCCTGCCACTGCCACAGAAAGAAGTAAAGTTTAAATAGTGAACAAAATAAATTTCCTTTGCACACCCACCTCATCCACTTCTAGCTGTGCCTGATCCAACTTGTCCGCACGATTGGCCAGCTCAAAGCGGCCACGATTCTCCCTTCGCTTGGACAACTGCATCTGTGCATATTGCCAGTTTTGAAAGGACTTGACACGCTCATGGAAAATGCACTTAATGGCTCCAAACAGACCCAGATAATCCTTGATGAACTCGGCGAGAATAAAGAAATCAGAGTTGGCCTGCTCGGAGCGCAGCAGTTCCATTTTCTCCTCCACATCGGCCAGATTGGACAGGGCACGCGATAGGCCAGTGTGTTCCTCGCATGTGCTAAGCATTGCAGCGGATTTGGCCACCAGGCCGGTCAGCGCGGACAGTTCACGGCGCGAGGTGACCAAAGACTTCATTGCATTGTGCAGCTTTTGGAGATTCGCATCAAGATTCTCCACCTCAGTGATCTTGTCGTCGAACCAGGGGTCATTCTCATCCATTTTATAGGTAATTTTGTTCACAGTTTCTCCCACTTTGTTGAACAAGCGAATCACACCGGCGCCACTCAGCGCAGAGGTGTTGACGGCGCGCGGCAGCTCCTGATCGCTTTCGAGAAAATTCATGAAATCCAAGTCCACACGCAGTATGGGATGCTGGGCGGTGCGATGGACGAAGCGTTCCAGCGCTGCACGTCGAATCTCCACCCATTCCTGGTTCATTGGAGTGCCCGGCTCGCTCTGCTGTGGACTAATCTTCACCTTGGTGCTGCCAATTATGTTCTTCGATGGTGCCGGCGGTATAATCCGTCCCACTCGCATGTACTTTCCGACCAGCAGATCATGTATGCCCAGGAAATCACTGAAGCGACGCAAAGTGCTGAAGTCTGTCCGCTTGAACTTGGGAATGTTGGTTTTGGTCGTCACTCTAGTCGTTGGGGGGAGAGTCGATAAGCAAATAGTATGCAATGCAATGATAAGCGCAGCCAGTGGGGCGGCGTGACTCACTTGTAGGCCAAATATGAGCCCATGCCATCGCCTATTTTCTGGGGGTCGGATACAACAATTTTGATGAAGAAGTCGCCATCGTCCGTCAAAACTTCTTGCAGCGGCTGTAATTCAGAGAGAGAGAGGAGAAACGATTCAATTGATGATAAGCACACCAATAGCATGGATGTTGTTTCTGTGGCTGTGTGTGCTGTGCTGGTGGGCGGCACTAATGACGTTGTCAACGCCAAACAAAGCAAAAGCAACAGCCTCTGGGGTCGCTGGTTGATAAAGCAAGCAAACGCAGAGCGCCGCCCCAAAAATTAAACCTAATTTAATAGGCATCCTGTTGTTGTGCGTGTGCTGCTGATTGAACTTACATGCACATCCCCGATGCTACTGGGACTCATGGCTGATACAAATAAATCATTTTCGTTCTCCAAAGTAACACTGCCGGGCGCTGGTACTTCCTCCTCGTCATCTGATGCCGATTCAGCACCATTGTTAATGTCCACTTCGGCGAACTCTCTGTTGTGTTCGGGACTTTCCACCTCCATGCTAATACGTTCAATGCAGTGCTTTTATGTTTTGTTAATTGTAATTATCAGAAAAACTTCTTTCTTTTCGACTGCCTGGGAAGCTTTTTTGCTGTTTGGCGTTGCCACTGTGGTCGGAGAGAAAGTTCTTAATTCTTCCCAGTGCCAGAAAATACCACCTTTCCTTGTCTAGTATTATTTTAGTATTTGATGGCAAAATCTATTAAAACAGAGAAGCCATTCCCGTTATATATTTAAAAGCCTGTATTTCCTAATATTCCCATGGAACTTCAAGAAACATTATAAAATTCATATTCCAAACAGTTTTAAAAGAAAACTCCATTAATAATTGAATTATTTATATGCTTTATTGCTCGGATTTTATGGGTATGCGAAATCTAGCCGTATTTCTCTCTATACGACCTTCATATTGGACGATATCCAGGGTATGAACGAAGAGACTTGCACATAGACGGAAGGAGAGTTGGCCTGGCCGCAAGGCAGCTTGCCCCAGGAAACGATGCCAATAAGGACATTGCCTTGAACCAAAGGACCACCAGAGTCCGATGTGCAAATGCTTGCGCCGGCAGTGAGGGGTCCAGTGCACAGATTCGTCGAATGAACATCGCTTCCCTTGACGCCCAAAGCAGCCTCGCACGAGCTCAGGCTGATGATTGGCAGATTGTAGGCCACTTGGAGGGTTTTTGGATATGAAGCCGAGCTGCTTGTACTGGTGCTGCCCCAGCCATACAGGGTGGCCGTGCCCGTTGGCACCTTGCCAGAGGCTGGAAGGGTAACTGGAGCCACTGCAGCCGACCACGTAAACGCTGTCGGTGTGTAAACCAAGCCAATGTCGTAGGGTACAGTGCCTCCGGTGTACAAATCGTTGACCACGTAGTAGGTAATGGTTCGCTTTTGGGTTGTGCTAGCCGTTCCCGCCACAGCAATGCTTCCTGCTACCAAAGTGCTGCCCAAAACTTGGGCTCTGCTAGACAGGCAATGAGCCGCCGTCACCAGCCAGTTGGCATTCAGGATGCTGGCCGCACAGTAGTGGGTGCCCTTGTACTGCATGGACACGGCATAGGGAGCACTGTTTGCGGGTGCCGCCACTCCTCTAACAACGCGTCCGTTTGGATCAGATGCCTGCCCATGGGCAAGGGCCAGGAGCAAGGAGCACGCGACAAGACAAGAGCGTGACATTGTTTGCTGTCCGTTCACAATCGTAGTTTTCGGAGAACTGTTTACATCCCTCTGTGTTATGGTCCGTTTATATTAAATTGAGATACGAAATTTAAAAATGGTGGCAAGTGAAGATAAGGGTTTCAATTAACCATTTTGCTTTAATAAGAAGTCAATATTTATTTATTTATTAATTCAATCAAATCATATCTACCACATTATAGTAAGATGGGGGGTCGGGAATAAGCGAAGCGCCACAAAGTTCAAGGTCCTCTCTCTTTCCTTTGGGGGTGTGGGTAAGCTGGCTCCGGGATCCCGCTATGAATTCATTTCGCTCTGCGGATCGATCCTCTCCGGATAACCCAACCTTCTCCTTAGCCTTGCCACCCTGTTCCGAAACACTTCCCCTTCATCTGGTATTTTGCTCTAGATCCTCATAATTAAAGTTAAGCCATGCCCGTTATTTATATAAATGCCTGTATATACTAAACTTCCCATAGGATTTCCATAAACTTCTTTACAAAGGAAACTCCATTAATGGAGATTATTTTGCTTTAATGCTTGGATTTTATTGATATGCAAACTCTTGAGGTATTTGTATCTAAGCGACCACTTGATTGGACGATATCCACGATATGAACGAAGAGACTTGCACATAGACGGAAGGAGAATTGGCCTGGCCGCAAGGCAGTGCGCCCCAGGAAACGATACCAATAAGGACATTGCCTTGAACCAAAGGACCACCAGAGTCTGAGGTGCAGATGCTGACGCCGCCAGTTAGGGGACCAGTGCACAGATTCGTCGAATGAACATCGCTTCCCTTGGTGCCCAAAGCAGACTCGCACGAGCTCAAACTGATTATTGGCAGATTGTTGGCCACTTGAAGTGTTGTGGGATATGAGGCCGTATTGGTTGTACTGGTGCTGCCCCAGCCATACAGGGTGGCCGTGCCTGTTGGCACCGTGCCAGATGTTGGGAGGGTAACTGGAGCCACTGCAGCCGACCACGTAAACGCAGTCGGTGTGTAAACCATGCCAATGTCGTAGGGCACAGTGCCTCCGGTGTACAAATCGTTGACCACGAAGTAGGTAATGCTTCTTGTTTGAGTTGTGCTAGCCGTTCCCGCCACTGCAATGCTTCCTGCGACCAAAGTGCTGCCCAGAACTTGTGCGCTGTTTGTCAGGCAATGGGCTGCCGTCACCAGCCAGTTTGTGTTCAGGATGCTGGCCGCACAGTAGTGGGTGCCCTGGTACTGCATGGACACAGCGTAGGGAGCACTGTCTGCGGCTGCGGCCACTCCTCCCACAATGCGTCCGTTTGGATCAGCTGCCATAGCAGACGCTCTACCAAGGCCAAGGGCTAGGACCAGGGAACACGCGACAAGATAAAAGCGCAACATTGTTTGCTGTCTATTCGCAATCGTAGGTTTCGGGGAACTGTTTACATCTACCTTTCCCATGGTCCGCTTAAATTAAATCGAGATACCGGAATTTCTAAATGGTGGCGCTGGAGAAGATAAGGGTTTCAATTAACGTTCTTGCTTTCCAGATAAGCGTTTAATATAATTTTGATTAAATGACGACTCCCAAGCAGTGACACTTGCCAGGGTATACTATACATAAATTACATCTAGCCACTCGGCAAGATATAGAAATAGATAGATAAGTTCAAGTGGATGTTTATCTGTAACATTTGGCAAACATTTGCGAAACATTTTTTGAAAGTATGTGGGGTAGTATTTTAACTGCTATGCAGTACTGGGAATAATACCAAAGCGATGTGGTATTTTAAGTATTTTACTGCGGATGGTCACACAGCAACTGACTCAGAGTGGAAGAAGAAGAAGACGATATTTTTTCCACGACGAAACGAATTTAATTTTATAAAGTGATACGCCTTTGCTGCTGCCCGAAAAGCATTTAGAACGTGTGTGCAACGAGCATTAACTGTAGAGAACAGCGAAAACGCAGGGCTACGCATGCAATAGGAGCCACTGAAACCCCCTGGCCCATCCCAGTATCAACAAAAGAGGGGAGAGAGTGCGCAAGAGAGCGAAGAGAGAGGTCAGCAAACCCGCAATTAAAGAAAAGTAGACACGTACGATAGTTGCACAGGCGGCGTACGTAGATCGAAGAAAGCAGAGCAGAGCAGAGACGATACGAGACGGAGACACCAGAGCAACAAAAAACCATGTCATCCGGCGACTTTGGCAATCCGCTCAGGAAGTTCAAGTTGGTTTTCCTGGGCGAACAGAGTGTGGGCAAGACGTCGTTGATTACACGCTTCATGTATGACAGCTTCGACAACACCTACCAGGCGACCATCGGTATTGATTTTCTATCCAAGACCATGTACCTCGAGGATCGGACAGTGCGCCTCCAGCTGTGGGATACGGCGGGCCAGGAGCGCTTCCGTTCGCTAATACCCTCCTACATACGCGACTCAACGGTGGCTGTGGTCGTCTACGACATCACCAATACGAACTCATTCCACCAGACGTCCAAGTGGATAGATGACGTTCGCACAGAGCGCGGCAGTGATGTCATCATCATGCTGGTCGGCAATAAGACGGATCTGTCCGACAAGCGACAAGTCTCCACCGAAGAGGGGGAGCGCAAGGCGAAAGAGCTGAATGTGATGTTCATTGAGACCAGCGCCAAGGCCGGCTACAATGTGAAGCAATTGTTTAGACGCGTGGCGGCGGCGCTGCCCGGCATGGACTCCACTGAGAACAAACCCTCCGAGGACATGCAAGAGGTTGTGCTTAAGGACTCGCCCAACGAGACGAAAGATCCCGAAGGCGGTTGTGCATGCTAGAACTAGATTTCTAGACAAGACACCCAACGGTCACACCCAACACAACCCGAACCCAATCCAAGCCCCTCCATCCTCCGCTACGACAACAACAACAGCATAGCAATTCCACACGCACACACACACAGACGCTGGAAACGGGTGTGCGTGTACACACACAAGGTGTAGTGTAGGGTGTCATGGTGTATGTGGCTGGATCAAGCAGGGCAGAGGATGAGAAAAACACCACACACACACACATACAATTTTATGTTTAAGTTTATTTATAAAGTAAAAAATGATAGCAAAAAGCAGAAAATAGACTAAAACCAACAAACAATTAACGAAATCGGCTAACTAATTAATGTTAATTAAATAATGCAATGCAATATTAAGCGAGCTAATCCTGAGGCAGGCCCAAGATGCATAAGGCACACCAACCCCAAACCACTCGTTGTAATGAGTAACTCGTTCCATACACACTCACCCGTTCCTCCTGCAAAGACCCGAACCCTACTCAATTATATTTTTGGCACGCAAAATCCTCACGCTTTAAAGTACTTAAATCAGGCCAAGCGGTAGACGAAGATCAGTACAGAATACAACATTCCAATTTGGCAGCAAAAAGCATGAATACCACTGAGAGCCAGCCCTGTGTTCAAGATGATGATTCCACGGCTAAGCAAATAGTTGTTTTGTTCCATTTATAGCCCCCCGTTCTGTTTGCGGCTTTTACTTGGGTTTTTTATAGCAAAACAAAAAACCAACTGGAAACCTTTTGATGGCATAGGACTTGGCCACGTGCATCTTATGAATAAATATATAAAGATATATATTATATGTATTTTTATGACAAAAATAATAAAAAAACAGGCAGACAGGCTGGCAGGCAGCACCAAGCACCTAGGCAGAGGGCAGACGGCAGACGACATTTAATATTATTATTAACGATTTTTGCTTCGATTAGCGAGTGAAAAAATTTGTGCATTTTTTACGCGAAAAGCATACAAATGGCTTACAAAATTGATAATTGAATAAAACGAACATAAAAACGTATGAATGCAATTTTTAATAAATCAAAATTATAAAAAAAGGAAAAAAAATTTACACGATATTAGCAATAAATTTAACAAAAAACAAAAACAAATAAAACCCCAAAAAAGGTGTGACTCATGAAAGTAAGAGGGGAGCGTTGGGTGCGCGGTGGCTGCAATTTGGGGCGCCTTATCTTATCGGGCGAGAGTGAATGTTGTTAACTGATTCGATGGCAGGGCACAGGGGTGTAGAAATTCCATAAATACAAGCAATAGTTATAGTTAGTTTTCTGTTTTGTTGTTTTATTATTTGTGAATTCCGGTTTCATAAGCGTAGAAGAAGATACACATTGAAGGAATAAAAATGCCAACTAGTTTGCTTTGCAAAACAATTATTAAGTATACGATAATAATATAAATAGAATTAAAGATGCGCCGCTGCTGCTGCTTAGAAGTTATCCTCGTTGGTGATGAACTCATCGCGTACTTTCTGCAGCTTGGTGATCAACTCCGAGACGGATACCTCGCCATGCACCTTGTTGTCGCGCGTGCGCACATTGACGGTGTTCGAGGAGCGCTCCTTGTCGCCTACCACCAGAATAAAGTTGAACTGCGCGAGCTGAGCATTGCGTATCTTCTTGTTCATCGTATCGCCGGCATCGCAGTCGGCCTCGCTCATGAAGCCAGCGGCATGGAGCTGCTCCTTGACTGTCTGCGCATATTGATCGTACGCTGGACCCACGGGCACGACCATCACTTGACGTGGCGACAGCCAGAAGGGCCACTTGCCAGCATAGTTCTCCGTCAGAATGGCAATCATGCGCTCCACAGACCCTAGGATGGCGCGATGAATGATGACTGGGCGCTTCTTCTCGCCATCATCGGCAATGTAGTTGAGATTAAAGCGAATGGGCAGCTGGAAGTCCAGCTGTATTGTGGCGCACTGATGTGCCCGCTTCAATGCATCCATAATGGTAATATCAATCTTTGGACCATAGAAGGCGCCATCGCCGGGATTCTCCTTCCAGGGCATGCCGAACTCATTGAGTGACTCCTCGAGGGCCTTCTCAGCATCATTCCACTGCTCCAGCTCGCCGAGGTACTTCTCTGGCCGTGTGGACAGCACCAGCTGGAAGGTGAAGCCAAAGATTGTGTAGACATGCTTCAGGAACTCCAAGCAGCCCTTCATCTCGCTCTTGATCTGCTCGGGTGCACAGAAGATGTGGGCATCATCCTGCTGGAAGCGACGCACACGCGTCAAACCGGTCAACGCGCCCGAGAGCTCATTCCGATGCAAGACACCAAAGTCGGCCATGCGGAGTGGCAGCTCCCTCCACGAGCGGTTGCGAGTATCAAAGATCAGACAGTGTCCCGGGCAATTCATGGGCTTCAGTGCAAACTTCTCCTTCTCCGCTTCGAAGGAGAACATGTTCTCGGCGTAATGCTGCCAATGTCCGGATGTCATCCAAAGCTTGGCATTGTAGATGTTTGGCGAGATGACCTCCTGGAAGCCCCGCTTCCTGTACTCTGACTTGATGAAGCCCATCAGCGTGTTGTAGATGTGCGCGCCGCGTGGCTGGAAGAAGCACGAACCGGGCGACAGTTCGTGGAAGAAGAACAGCTCCTGTTCGCGTCCAATCTTGCGATGGTCCCGCTTGGCGGCCTCCTCCTGCAGCTTCTCCCATTCCTTGAGCTGCTTGGGATCCGGGAACGAGATACCATACACCCGCTGCAATGTCTCAGCATCGGCCTTGCCCTCCCAATACGTCGACGAGTTCTTGGTAATCTTTAAGGCCTTCACCTTGCCCGTGTGGCGGACATGCGGACCGCGACAGAGATCGATAAGGGAGCCGCACTTGTATACTGTGGTGCGATCCGTGGTCACCTTCTCGTTCAGAATGCGCAGCTTGAACTCATTGTACTTGAACATCTCCAGCAGATCGGACTTCTTCATCTCCAGACGCTCAAAGTTTTGCTTCTCTTTCACGATTTGCTTGACCAGCGACTCCATTGTGCCATAGTCATTGGTGGAGATCTAAGGGAAGCACAGAGTTAATCCAAGCACTTATGGCAGGAACAGATAGCACTTACACCCTCCCCATTCAGATGCATGTCGTAGTAGAAGCCACTCTCAATGGGCGGACCATAACACAGATGTCCACCGTAGATGCGCTCCATGGCCTCACCCATTATGTGTGCGGAGCTGTGCCAAAAGACGGCCTGCGCCTCGGGATCGTCGAACTTGAGCAGCTGCAGGGAGCAGCTCTCCTCTAGCACACGATCCAAATCCCACACCTCTCCATTCACCTTGGATATAATTGTGTTGTCGGCGAGTCCTTGGCTGATGCCACGTGCCACATCGTACGGCGTGGTCTCCCAGGAGATGGCATCCACTTGCTTGCCATCGGGCAGGGTGACTTTGATGGTCTCTCTGGGTTTGGCAGCCAACTCAGCGAGATATTCGGCCTTGCATTTCTCCCAAAGGACGTTACGCTCCTCAATGTACTGCGGCAAGGGGTTTAGTTCTATATTTAAAAGGAAATCTCGAGTGAAATGCTGATAAACGGGAAAAACTGCACTTCTTACCCTTGCGCGCATCACTGGCTGCACCGGCCGGCTTCTCCTTTTTCTCCTTCTTCATTTTGCCAGCCTGCAAATCGAGGTGGAAAAATCAATAAGTTAAAATCAATCGAGGAATCGCAGGTTTCTTTTGTTTTTTGGCTACGTATGCAGTCGAAAAGCAATTAGTTGAATGACTTTTCAGTGTCTGCGTTGACACGCTCTCTGGCTTTCGTGGTTATTTGAACAATTGGAAGCGAGGCAATGACACAGACAAAAATTGTCGGCTCTTCTTGTATTGCCTATCGGACCGCCGACTATCTGTCTTTGAGCGTTTTTCTCCGGAACTTTAAAAACTGATGTAATAGAGACGGTACGTTGAGTCAGAAGCGGTGCGGGAATGTAGCTGCCGGCTGGCAGTGATTCAACTCTCCATCAACGGCACACATTTATACATGCACAACACATGCATTTGTATGTGTGCATGCACATGTGGAGAACACTTAGAACAGGTAGGACAAGGCTTAGCGACACCAACCAAAGTTGCGTAGCAGCGATAGCTTCTTGGTTGTCTTTGCTGCTGCTGCTTCTGATGTTGTAGTTGCTGCGTCTGATATTTGGAAGCTGCGGCTCGCAGGCAAGCTCTGCTTATTGCTTTACTAGACCAGCCGCCAATGCCAAGGGGCACAAGTTTCAACATAATTCGGTTACTGATTACTTCTCATACACTGCAATGCAATTCGTTAAGAGTTTAACATGCCTTTTGCTTGTTTAAATCCAAATTACTTAATTCCGGCACCACGTTGTCACCCATTTTTGTTTCCAAAATTATCCAAGAGAGTGAGCGAGAGGGCTAGACTACGCGAGTGTTACCAGAGGCGCACCAAAAAGCGCCAAAAGCCTTAAATACCGCAATGTCAGCTAGCTAAGCTTTGGCGCCAAATCGATTTCGAACTGTGGCTGCCGTTGCGTGTCCTGTTTTCGCACTAGTTATTGATTAAATTCTGCTGACATAATCGAGGAGTGCATTCGTGTTTACATTGTGTGTGTTTCAGCTGCTTTGGCACACATTCAAATTGAAATTGTTGCTCGCTCACGGTGTTTAGAAAGCCAACAAAATTGCACACCTATTGGAAAATCCCCTTCATAATCAACCACCGCTCTCTGGTGGCGCTGAACGTCTTGGGGTAGATTTCGATTTCTACAACGTGGCTTCCAGCAAGATTCATCCCAGCCCGGGGGCGGCGCGGAGTGTGTGGGCGCTTCCCCTGACGGCCTCCTCGTCATGCAACATGGTCGTGGCGGAGGAACACCCCCATGCCGAGGACATCGATATCGACCATCGCCCGCACTCGCCGCCACTCACGAGCCGCGGTGCTGGCGGCAACCATGGGCCCAGCAACGAGGACCACGACAGTGTGCTGCTGTTCGAGGGCCTGGATGGGGCGACGACCGTCAACCTGGACGACATCTTTGACATCATCAAGAACGGGGAGGTCAGCGAGGTGGAGAATCTGGTGGATAAGTTTGGCATGGAGTGCCTGTCGGCCAGGGATCGCCACGGCTACACTCCCGCCCACTGGATCGCCCTCAATGGCAATGTCCAACTGATGCGTTACCTGATTGAGCGCACGGCTCCGATTGATCTGCCCTGCCTGGGTACCCAGGGACCACGACCCATTCACTGGGCGTGCCGGAAGGGTCATGCCTCGGTGGTGCAGGTACTGCTGCAGGCGGGTGTCGCTGTCAATGCTGCAGATTTCAAGGGCTTGACGCCGCTCCATCTGGCTTGCATGTACGGACGCACAGCGACGGCTGCCTACCTCCTGGGCATGGGTGCACTCAACAATCTGACGGACATCAACGGCGACACGGCCCTCCATTGGGCGGCCTACAAGGGACACGCAGATCTGATGCGCCTGCTCATGTACTCCGGCGTGGAGCTGCAGAAGACGGACAACTTTGGTTCGACGCCGCTGCATTTGGCGTGTCTTTCCGGGAACATGACCTGTGTGCGTCTGCTGTGCGAGAAGTCTCAGGTGGATCTGGAGCCGAGGGACAAGAATGGCAAGACGCCGATAATGCTGGCACAGGCGCATCAGCACCAGGATGTGGTGCGGCTGCTCTATGGCGAGGTGAAGAAAAAGTCCCGTTGGATTCCATCCGTTTCGGAGAGCTGGGGCTGGCTCTTTGGCGGCGCCGGCGACTCCAAGGGACCGCTCTTCCTCTTCCTGTTCTCCGTGCTGCTGTGGGGCTATCCCATGTACATGATACGCGCCATTCCCATCACCTGGAACATACTGCGTCGCTCGCACTATTGCTTCATCTACTGGAACGCCGTCATGTGGATTAGCTGGGCCATTGCCAACCGACGGGATCCGGGCTACATTCCACTCAGCTCGGACGCGTACTATCGTGCCATCAAGCAGATTCCGTACTTTGACAAG